GAAAGTGCAAGTGGCCGATTTGATGGTAATTAATAACAGGTGCTGGGAACTGTTGATTCAGTATATGAAATCACGAAGATCAACGAACATACAATCTATTATTCGAGGGTGCAGAAAATAGATATTGTGTAAACAGGTAATGAGACTAAAGAAATGGCCAGATGAGAGGACCATGTGTTAATTGTATGAATTTTGACAGGGTGCAAAATGGGTGCAGGATGAGAAATCCTGAATAAACAGGTGTCAAAGAGTTAATGAAGCAGGCTTAGCAATGCCAACATGACTGAGATGCCATTGGTTGTGTAGTAGCAGTAGTGAAAGGTGGAGGAAAAATAGTGAGAAGGATGGAGAGGTTACTAACACCCACTGAAGGGAATTGGTATGAGGTACTGATGTGAGGAGGAAGGAATTTAGGAAGATAGCTATCCTGTAACCTCATGGACAAGGAGATATCCCCAGAAATGGGAATTAATTTTCCTGGTCAGACAATAAAGGGAACCTTGTTGGAAATTGGGGATTCACCAAAAACCTCAGGCTGTGTCTAAGCCTGCACCAGGTTTTAGTTGAAGTCTATATAAGCGAGTGCCCTCGGGTAGTTTGTCAGTTACAGTCAGTTGGAATTGAGCTACAAGAGAGCTGAGAGATTCCACAATTCCTGACAATGCAAGAAGCCCTGACTTCACCTTCCTACAACCAGCAAGTTACACTGAAGAACATAATTTAATGCCAAAAAACTAAACCAGTTAACTTAGAAGACCAGAACTTGTCTCGACGTATAAAGTGTCACTCTCAGAAGAAATAGGTTGGGAAGAAAACACTCCTGTATGCAACAGACTGATAAAAGTTGATTTGCTTTCTTTAAACTTGCCTGAACCTTGTTGGTTTTCATTTATTTCTTTTTACTTGTGCAACGTCACCTCCAGTTTAGACTCACCTTGCACGACAGCCCCTGTGTCTGATTGATCTCATCTATCTAAGATCAAAATCACAACGTGGGTAGATTAGACTTGAGATCAAAGTAGTTACTTCAGTAACCAGCCATTGAAAGCAAACTGGGAATGGTGGAGCTGGTGTCAAACCAGTTGCATCTGGTGTAAAGCTGTTACGTGTTTGTGCCATTAGAATAGACTGACCATCTCATTTGGTACCCTGACCAAAGGATCATGCCGGGTAGCAACGACTACCAATCAACCAGGTCACATATTGGTGGCTGTGACCAAGGACTGGCCCCAGTAGGTGTTACAATTCAAATTAGAGCAATTAATGGTATTGCCCTAAAAAATATCTCACTACAATGTGCCCTTTTTCCTGTGTTATAGTAACAAACACACCTACAAACAGAAATTGGAATATTATAGATTATTTTTTTCTGAATCACACCAAAAAGAATTTGATAACTTTTCTTCTTGCATTTGATTCACATTTAAAGTTATTTATGAATTGGACAGTCATTGGGGAAAGTTGTTTTCTGGCAAATTCTGTTAGTTTTTATTTACAAAAATTATGCAGATAATACACAGCAATTACTATTTAGATGTAGTCATCTATTATAATATCTATTGAAAATACTTTTAATTGTAAATTATAGATCTACAATTCAGGGTTTCATTTAAAATACTCTGGAGTGAAATGCACATAAAAACTAAGGAAAATATTTTAATCTTTATCATATCTGATGAGATGAAAATATGATTTCATATAATATTCCAAATATCCAATCAGTTTTATGTTACTGTGAAATTTCAAAAGAATATTTCCTTTGCAAAATGATGTCATAACAAAATCTATATCATTAAAGAAGAGCTGATTATATGTCACACACTGTGTGACTATGCAACATATATGCATCTGTGTTGTGCATCAATGACTTACATTTTCTTGTCACATTTAAGAATACACACACACAAACACACACAATTTGATTGAGTTTCAAGTAAGACACTGGAATAATACGTAACTCTCCCATTCAGTCTGAATAACCAGATTTAAATTTAATCTGTATTAAGTTTAAAATATAAAATTATTTAAAGAAGAAACTGAGGAAAAAAATATATATTTTGTTATTTATTTTGTTTTAATTGAAATGCCAAAAACTCAATAAACATTAAAATCTAATGTGGATGTAAAGCTTCATTACAACTTAGATACATTTGAAGTGATGATATGATCAAGGGAGGGTGAATTCTTGCAAAAGACAATACATACAAAATCAGATTATATTACACAAACATGTAGACATATTTAGATATATAAACATGCAAAAACGCAAGCAAAACAGGAAATAGACGTCCATAAAAAAATTAAAAATAACAGACAACATATACAATGAAAGGCATATATAAGTGATTATACGCACATACATTAATAAAGATACACACATATACACATCCACAAATATTCAAATTTGAAAATGTTAGTAAACAAATTCAAACAGACTTAAAATATTATTTACATGGGCAAAGATATATAGATAAAAATGATTCAATAGATAAAATTTAAGAGAGAATAGAAAAACAAATATTCATCAATCAACAATGCAAAAAAAAAGGCACTAAAATATATAGAAAAATAAATATATATGCATACACAAACATAAAAAAAAATTCAAATATCCAGGCAAAAGGCAACACTTAAAATAAAACCAGCTAATATATAAAAAAGAAAACACATAAACACACAAATTCATATAAATATCTCTTATATACACACGAGTACACATACACAAGTACAAATATATAACAATATATATAAAAATACATACATATATATGTGTACACACATTCATCACTACTAGAAATGTTCTATGCTAACAGTTTCTTCTCTCACACTTCTTGTTTCCAGTCAACTTTCAGCTTCAAAAATTTTAATGCAATGTCAACTATTATCTTCTGCCTTCTTAATTCTAGTTCTTTTATTGTTCTCTTCCATTAATAACATTTTATTTTTCTCATATTCTCACACACCCAGTAAACCCTTGTATCTTTGTGGCTTTATTTCCTCACATAGTGAAAAATTATTAATAAAAAATATTAAAAAAGAATTGATTTCTTTTATATTTTTCCAATGTTAGGGAAATGTTAAATTGCTGGAATTCACTTCAATAAGTGTTCATCTTTTTGGCATATTTACAAAATACACTTTTAAAGTAAAACATTAAAATAAAGTTATGACTATTGAGAGTTTTGGGTAGTTTGGTGTTAAATAGCACAAGAAATAGGGTTGCTGAGCTGAGTTCAAATCCTTGTTGAGTCAGCTTGTGTTAACTTTGTACTAGAGTTCTTCAGAAAAGTACAAAATCATCTACTGCAGATTCTTCTTTGGATTTTATCAAGAATCTCTAAATATATAGCAGTCGTACTCAACCAGATGTGGCAGCAATAAGCAATGCATGGATGAACAGTATAATGTGCAGTTATTGTTATTAGCATGGAAAGTGGAAAGAATGAATCAAGTTCAAATTTGGGCCTTGCCTGTTGCTCTTTCACACTAATGCTCTTGAAAAAAAACAGGATTTATCTCTTATCCCTCCTGTTATAGGTTAAATAGACTAAGATCTTTAATCCTGAATGGCAGATACTCTAGAAGGACAATGAAGAAATTGTGGCAATTCACAGATGATAAATGAGTTAAGTGGAAAGCCATTGGTTGTCATAGTCACAAATTATCAAAAGTAATAACAAATAATATTTCAAACAGATAAGATCTTCAAAAAAAAGTGTCTACCAAATTTCATTTTAAAACAAAATGTATTGTTATGTTAGATTTGGTATCTCCACTAATTCACCAAAAAGTAGCATAGTGTGATGAAAAAAGACTATTTTTATTATCTGCAATAAAAACACAAAAAGTCATTTGTAGAGCCTAGGCCAAGATCAACAAAAAATAAACCAAAATATTTTATTTTTGTATATTGACTGAAGACGTTGAGGCTTTTAATTTATCATAAAAACAAAATGTAAAATCACTCCTGGTAATCTGTAACATGTTTTATGATTAGTATATATTTCTAATAAATAATTTTACTATATGTTTTCCTAATATATATACTGTTGCTTAAATTACAATGCTAGTTTTGTTAGAGGTTCATGCTAAGAAAAGTTACATTTTTAAAAAAAAACAAAATCTTTTTTTATATAAATTTCTAGTATTATTTAAAATATTTTCATGATTCTCTAAGGTTGTATGCCACTTCTTAGATAAATAGTGTATGCAAGCATAAAAGAATAATGGGATGCTTGGAAATAGTGAAAAAATATCTTGGTCTCCTCTATTCTCCACCGCCCACTATAGGCATTAATATAACTGTGATATACTAACATCTTAAGATAAAAGGAAGGACAAGAATAAGCCCAAAAAATGAGTTAAACAAGAAAGCATTTTATATACAAAATGTAAGTACATGAACATAAGTAATATAAAATATTTAGTATATGTCACAAATTTTCCTACACAGAGAAATTAATGCACACAAAAAACAACAAATAAAAAGGTTTTACTTGTAATGTTCCAAAGAGAGACACAGTACAACCTTGTGGTTTCATTTTAGTTCCTTTTTAGCATGCATGGGAATCACATTGTCTTCTGTGGCAGCAACTGAACATATTATGAACAGGAACTCCCCCACCACACATTTCTAAAATGATTTAAAAAAAAGCAAAATTGGCAATCATGGAAAAACGTACCCACAATGAGATGGTGTGTCAAATGGACTGCTTTTTTAACTACCTTCACAATTTGGCAATGTTTATCGTTTTAAAACGCAATTATTAGAATTGTAATAAAACCTAAATATATGAGAGTCAATTTATACATTTTCCTTTGTTGTTGAGAATTGAGAACAGAAATAATAAACCCTATTTATTACAGAGAAGAGATTGGTTCATACCTTTCCCAAGGATAGTTGCATGTAAATGTATATAACGAACTCAACTGGAATTAGAACTCTGTTCTCTTATTAACAATTCTGAGCCATTATCCAATATGTCATCTGCACATCCAAGCTTACAACATCTGGTATTCTCAAGTGGTCACCCATTTAGGTACTGACCAAGCTTTCCATTGCTTAACTTTGGTGATTGTATGGGAACTGGTGTTTCAATCAGGCCATAGCCACTCTTAAACTGAAGAGCCTGGTCTGTCCTATTATTCAAACATATCTCGGGGATTCTTATTTTTCCTAAATGCATTTGAATGAAAGTGAATTTAATGAAACTTGACTGGAATGCAAATTTGGTTTTCTGATTTCTCATTCTGCAACCCTTTCCATTACTGTAGCAATGAAAGTCTCATCAAACAAAAAGTTCATATGTTGCATGTATTCTCTGCCAAATGTAAGCTGTGTTTCAAGCTTGTTGGTAAATGGGTAAGTGTATGCAAATTTGTTATCTGACCATTGGTAGGTGTCTCGGAGTGCCAATATAAATCACTAGAGTTGAATGCTTAGGTGAGTTGTTCTGAAAACTTGTGGATGTTGCTGTTAGTTTTTTAATAAAACCTAAACAATAATTAAACAAGATGGTGTGTCAAATGGGCTGCTTTTTTTAACTACCTTCACAATTTGGCAACATTTGTCATTTTAAAAAGTGGTGATTAAAATTGTAATAAACCTAAATATATGGAAGTGAATTTATACATTTTCTTTGTTTTTGAGAATTGAAAACAAAAATAATAAACACTATTTTACAGTGTTTATTTACACTATTATATTTATTGGAATGGTTGGCAAAACATCAGCTAATTGTCAATAGATTCAAACTTTGTAAAACAGTAAATAAGGATTTCTTCATAGTTGGTTCACATATTTTAATAATTTAGTAAATGTTTCTAAATTCATGAATAAAAAATTGTTTTCATATTATTTTCCTTATAAATTGGTATTTGTATGAATTTTTAGTGTGTTGTAAATATAAAATTATTTTTGTAAATAAACAATCTCATATTTTTGCTGTACTCAAGAACAAAAAATGTATAAATTATGCCTTCCGGCCTTTCTCAGGTGTATATTAATCTGGGTATTCTACTGCAGTGGCAGCCTAATCAACATCAAAGTTATGTTTTAAAGCTCTAAGTTTACTGCAGCAAGTTATGAGACCATAATCTAGTGTGCAAAAATGTTGGTTTGTGAATTTGGTGACATAGTGGTTGTGAGTTCAATCTCTGGGTCAGGCAGTGAGTGTCAGAAAAATAAATTGAATACAGATTAATGTATTTTTTTCAGCTGATGTTACTAAGGAAAATAAGACTGATAAAACTATCAGTTAAAACAAAAAAGGTTTCTGATTTACAAGGAAAATGTGTCAATATTTTACAAAATAAAGAGAAACCATATTTTAATTATTTACAAGAAATTTACAATTTACAAATATATCTTTGAAATTCAGTTGATATCAAACAACCCTGATAAGCAAATATAAAATGTCAAAATTTACAAAAGATTAAGATCTTATTTTGAGAATCTTTCATTTTTTTTTAATACTCAATATTAAAAATGATTTCTCTATTTTTTGCACTTAAAGAAATTTGTGAGTTTTAAAAATAAAAATTTTTTTTAAATTCCTTAAATTATAACAATTTGAATACACAATATAGTGTAAAATATGTGTAACTTTTTCAGCTTGTGTTAAAAAAATTACAATTTAGATAGAATTGTTTCACTAAAGACAAAACTAATTTTCAAGAAAAGGTTTTCAACAAAAATATGTTGAGGACAAATCAATATTTTCTAATGAAGTAGGAATCTTATTCTAGTTCTGGGCTTATTTGCAAGAAATGAAAAAAAATGTACTAACTGCAAATAAACCTTAGAATTTAGAATGACATGAAAGCATTTGGGATCAGTTGACAAAAATTACAAAGAGAAATACCAGATTAAAATGAAAAACAAAGTGAAATTGCAAATAATCTTTCCATTGCCATCTTTTATAGTTTTGAAGCAGGTGGTGTAATGGTTAATGTCTCAGAATGAGAAATTGATGAGCCAAATTCAAATTCCAGTTAAATTTGTTACATTCACTTTCACACAAATACAATTGAAAAGGTATTATTCCATCTCTTTGGCCCTTCCCCCACTTGCTATGGGTTAAATAGCAGTTCAGACAGTTCTCTAGTGGTGGTTGGCAAACTGTCTAGGAGAAGGACAACCCTGAATTCAAAATGATGTGTAACCCTTGCATAGCACACCATGTAGCTAATGAAAGCATCATCAAGTTCAAAATTACTTCATTGCAGTTGATAGAATAGATATTTTTGGTAAATGCTATAAATTTAGTTAGAACAATATGCCTATCTTTTAGATGTCATTGTTTCAGCAGCAGGTCAGAATGTTGTTATAGAGATGTTGACAGCATTTAATGAGTTGGAAATTTATAATATTACTGATCAACAACATAGAAGACACTGGCAAAATACAGGAGGAAGAAAAATGTGGCTTGTTTGTAGCACACTGGAACAAGAAATGCAATATGTCTAACCAAAATGCTATTAGAGTAAGCAATAGAAGTTTTTTTTTTTAGTCTTACTACTGTTCATCCATTACAAGGCTTGATAGCCACTAAGAGTAGAGGGTTACTTTTAGGAAAAAGGTGAATGGAACATTCTCTTTATAATTGGAATACAGAGAAAATGTGGGTGATTCATCAACTTTTGATGTAGCATGACAAGTTCTAGCTGTAAACGTCTGAACTGGTTTAAAATAAAAATGAAATTCAGTAGCAGGCATCTCTAATCATTGGTTAAACATTTAACCTAAGTGAAACAAGTACTTCTGGGACAGCATTTCAATGGCAGATAAAGCCTTGCTGTCATTTGTCTTTATTTTTTTTTATTAGTGGCTTCCATATTGTAATTATTTATATGAGAACCACAATGATCTTGGTATACTTGCCACTCAGTGGCAATGGGTGAGTAATAACTGAACAGTACTAAATAAAAATAAGAATATCCTTATACATGAGCAGTCTACCCCTGTAGATTAAAAGGATCCAATTCAGAATTCCCTGTAGGTTACCCAGATCAATATACAAGGAATATAAGGAAGGCTGGAGTGTACAATGACTGAAACGCTGTGATAAAACAACAAAGATATATAGTGTATAATATAGTGTAAAAAATGATGATTCCTCAACCCAGAAATTCAGACAGAAATTATGTAATGTTTAATCTCCTACATAGCAAGACAATTTCATCAATGAAAAGACTTGAAGCAATAGAGATTGTGTCCTATCAATAAATATTGAGGATATCATGTACAGATCATGCAAGAAATGAGGAAGTTTTAAGAATAGGAAATACAAAGACAAACATTCGAAAAGGGACAGCTGAAGTTTTTTGAAGTAATGAGCCATTCATTTTAGAGGTCACTTCTAGCCACTTGGGCAATTGGAAACCCTCATGTATCATACCCACCAACGAAACCCCAGCATCAACCACTTCACCAAATACAAGAGTTTCTGAAGCCAATGGACTATTTGTAAGACAGCTTTTTTGATGGTCAACACATTAAAGCCCTTTTGTGTATAACATCCCCTCACAAAGACCACATAAGCGTATGATGAAGATCCATGCTCCAGGTTAACATAATTGCCATCAGAAAAGCATATAATGCTTAGATCTGAAAGTTCTCCCAACCTTAGAAATAATAAGATACCTTTTTAGATATAATCTTTAATAAGGCTTTATTCACCTCTAACAGGATTCTTATTTTTGGGTGTTTCCCAGTATTGATGATTCTATAGACATCAAATGGTAGATACAGATGAGATAGTGTTATACTCTGCTACAATTAGATTTTCTCATTTACTTTATGTGGTGGCCGGATGTGAATGCTAAAATACAAAATAAAAATGTTTTCTGCACATAGGTTCCAAGCATTACATCTCGTCCACAAAACAAATTCCTGTAACAAAAATTAATATAATAACCAATTACGAACATTGCTGCCAGAAAAAAGATGGCTCAAACAGAATTCAACAGAAACATTCCACTCGATCAATCATAATTATCTGCTCCAGGCCATCCCATGTCGTCACCACTGTGACCCCCATTTTGTTAATCTAACAAAGACAATCCACTTGATCAACCAACCCACCTTACCAGGCACAGGTGTTGGTTTTAACCTTAAAAAATGTGTGTGTTAAACCCCACCATTGGCTAATTCATTCTGGACCTGTCCTTTGAACCCCAACTGTGATCTCAGCTAACCAACCCAAGAAATCAGTCAACTCCCAGCCCTACTGACAACACCCTTACACCTTATCATTTTCCTTACCAACAGCAGCTGAAGAACAACATATAAACAATTTTTTATCAAATTTCAAACCACTATGTATATATTATGTATATAAATGAATGCACATTGTTGAAATATTAATACTTTTTTTTTGTTTCTTTCTTTTGAAACAAAATACTCATTATAACAATAGCCACATTATCAAACTTACAAGTCTCTTTAATTCAGATTGTTCATCTGAATTTAATTCATCAGCCATAATGCTCCACATACAAAACAAGGAGATGCTTTAGGATAAGTATCTTTGTTATAAGAGAAAGAAAACTAGTTAATATAATTAGACACATCATCACACCATTCAACTCTAACAAAATTATTATTAATCGTAGAGGGCCTTGAGCTATAATTGTCAACTGTATAAAAATATATTCTTACTATGACAGTATTTTTATTAATTTGACTCAGGTGTTTTTTTTTTCAATTTAATAATAAAAAATAACACTCAAAATCAAAAAGAACTGCAAAAGTATATGTGGTTACCAAGCAAATAATATATAATACAGAAATCTAGGACAAAGATTCCCAGAACTACACAACAGTTTTACTGATAGCACAAATTACCTTAAAAGCATAATTTGTAGCGCAAATATTTTTAGTTTAAAAGCATTATATGAAAAATTGAGTAGTGGAAATTTACAGATGTTTCATTCCTGCATGAAAATTCAGTAATCAAAAATATGGAAATATTAATTTTAAAACATTTCAGATTTTATCCACTTCTCACTATCATTAAACAATTCATCCAGTGAAAAATGAAATTTTTATTACCATATTCTTTTATTTTCTTTATCTTCATGAATGTTAAATTTGGTTTATCAAATACTATA